CCAAAATCCCGAAGTGCGATTTCGGTGACGAAATCCCGAACGCATGTGCGGATATGACTTCGAAAACCGACTAAGTAAAATCTCGAAATCCCGAAGTGCGATTTCGGTGACGAAATCCCGAACGCAGTGCGAATATGACTTCAAAAAACGACCTGGTAAAATCTCAAAATCCCGAAATCCTGAAGTGCGATTTCCGTGACGAAATCACGAACGCCATGCGGATAAGACTCACGAAAAATGACTAAGTAAAATCCCGAAACCCCGAAGTGCAATTTCAGTGACGAAATCTTGAATGTCACGCGGATATGTCTTCAAAAGAACAACTAAGTAAAATCCCGAAATCCCGAAGTGCGATTTCGGTGACGAAATCCCGAACGTATGTGCGGATATAACTTCGAAAACYGACTAAGTAAAATCTCGAAATTCCGAAGTGCGATATGACTTCTAAAAACGACCTAGTAAAATCCTGAAATCTTGAAGTGCGATTTCGGTGAGGAAATTCCGAGCGCCATGAGGATAAGACTCACGAAAAATGACCAAGTAAAATCATGAAACCCAGAAGTGCGATTTCGSGGATGAAATCCCGAATGCCGTGCGGATATGTTTTCGAAAAAACGACTAAGTAAAATTCCGAAATCCCGAATTGAAATTTAGGTAACGAAATTCCGAACCGCATGTGCGGATATGACGTTGAAAAAACGACTAAGTAAGATCTWRAAATCCYGAAGTGCGAATTCAGTAATGAAATCCCGAATACTCGTAACGAAATCCCGAATGACATATGGAGAAAACGACTAAGTAAAATCCCGAAGTTGTGATGCACGAGCCGATATCACTTCAAATATCGGTAACTTATGACTTCAATAAAAACTTTATAGACTTAGTTGTTATCGTGAAATCACATTATAGGTTTTAAAAATACGATTTCATCAACACAAAGGACGAATTCGGGTTTCAAAACCACGAATTCACTATTTTTTCATTACCAAGCTTCGCTATCCCTTTCGGCAAAATTTCGAGGTCCCATTGACCACGAGTGAACAAAGAAAATGAAATAACTGAATCTAAACGAAAAAATAACTGCAAATTACCCTACCTCGCCAAGTGTCAAGCCCGCTATACACGGCCTCAACTACCTTGGTCCTTAACTAACCCCGATATTAAGGTCACAGGTTCGAGCCCTGACCAATTATTTTCTTGGCCAAAAATGTTGCGGGGTCCACGCCAGAAAGGAGCTAGACTCAGTAGTCTCTCGGCCTCGATCCCTGCACCCCTCGTTTCTAAGGCAAACACTGAAACCTACTGAGCTAGCTCCCACTTCAAATAGAAGGGGAGCATATTGGTATGTATGTAGTGTAGAAACTAAGTCTGCTTGGTGGTCAGAGCCCGTTCTCCCTAGATCTATACGTGTGGCATAGTTGATCACCCTATGTGTCTGACTAAATGCCTTGTGGATGATATGTGAGGTCATTCGTTCAGGCCGAAGAACCGATTGGTACGACCGCGTTATTGAGGGTCGTCGCGACGAAAGTTCCCGAGTAGCGGATAAGCCGATACCACACTTAGTAAGGGTAGACGCCGAGTACTTGAGGCTAAACAACCTGACGTTTTGCGTGCCCTTGATGTACCCTGGCATGATAGTAACCACGCTCAAACTCTCGACCTTTCTGGTCGAAGGGTATCAGTGTCGATCCTAACTATCACTGCGCTCGTCACAATGACGCGCATGCTCATACGAACTTCTAAGCTCAGACTAGTCCCTCAAGGCGGTCGGCACAGTCGACCTGTCGATTGTAAATTCATGGCCAAATACCCTTGTAAGGGTATTCGGTCCGACAGTATCCCAGACCCTATTAAGCGACGTCACCGTCGCCTGAAGAACTATACGCAAACAAAAGATATTTTCCGACAAACAAATTGTCAAATCCGAATCCTGGAATGAAATGTGGTTTAGGATTTGACGTCATCACCTCACTTTTCATTATAACCGCCGAGATTTTAACTCGGATCTCCCACATAGCAAAATAAACTAAATGACTTGAAGTCGGGATACTTGATCCGTACTAAAGTATATGAAATAGTCAAGTATGACAACGCTCCTTTCCTTCCCCACACCCTTAGACTTTGGTCCAGGTATTCGTTGGTTGCTTTCAGGGTCGGTGCCAACGTGCGAACTCGTCCCTTCAAGCGTGGGTTCTAACCGAGACCTTGGGTGTTCAACTCTTGATATCATCGTCCAAAGTTGCCTGTTGTCCTGCCCGAAGCCTAATGCAGGAGGACAACGGTCTCCATCGTGACCCACCACAGTCCTGCTGATCAGGCCGGATCTGCAGCCCACCACATTGTTGCTTATCGGTGGTTACCCTCGTTGGTTGTGCAACGATGGGTTATTCATCCTGTCTTTCAAAACATATATTCACAATTACAAGACTAATCTCGACCCCTCCGACTGCTACCTGAATCGATTCCTTCATCGGGGTGACCATCCTCTCTAGTCTATCTTCTAGGTCATATTCGAAGGGTCCGCTACCTGGTTATGCTAGGCTAGCAACCCACGATGGGAGTTACGTCTCAACGATGCCAATTTCCCACCATAGGCTTGGTATTTTATGCCCTCAGGTTAACCCTTGAGATGGATGAACGATGCTTCTTTCAAAATAAACCAAATAAATGAGATTTCCAATAATTGAGCAGTCGTCAGGTTGCCACTCAGGGTTGTGCCCTCCAAGTCTTTGATCTTAGCTCGGTGAGGCATGCACCTCGGGGTCATTGATATATATACAAAAACCAAATATTTGAATTGAAATCAGACTTGTCGACTCTTTGCTTATCTGATACATAAAAACAGTCATCCCACTCAAATTCATTTGCAAAGACAATGTTTTACCTCATGAGAGATATTTGTCCATACTATAGCATGGCATTCCAATCATGCACATGTATTGAACTCAGCATCAGATCATGCAATCTTTTGTTGTCTTTCATTCATACACTGACCCGCCTGTTCCTCTACCACCATTTCCCTGACCTCAGAGGATCCAAATCGTGATAGACGAAGGGAGATACTCAATCACAAAAGAAGAATTGAAATCATTGACAAGGGTACACTCATAATGTGAAAAGCGTTTGTGGTCACCAACTCATTTGCCGCCTTTTCTGATCATATATATATGTGTAAAATACAAATATGATACAACTTGTCACATTTGTGACCCATCCTACTCATCCTCATCTCACTCCCAGAACGTTTATGCATTTCCCCTCATACTATCACCTATTCCTATGTCTCCACCCCTACCAAGTCCTAGAAGTTCTGCCTCCTTTTATACCGCAATCTACTTACTCACTCATCCCCCCTGCTTTAATAAAGGTGCCTCAACTTGTCAAATTCTATCTTTTCCTGTTTTAAAAGGTGATTGTCAGTCCCAGTATCCTATGGAGTTCTACCCTGCCACCCTCAGGTGTCCTAGGGATTATCTGTCCATTGTTGGCTATCAGCCTCCCTTTTGAGTCAAACCTGGTCATCCCCTTCTTAATATATTCAGTCAAAATGGTACAACCATCCCTGAAGTGCCCCTCCTTCGTGCAAAAGAAGCACCCACTTCTAATTTTATTATGCCTGGTTATCTTGGTGAGAGGCCGACCCGAAGTCTCTGTGTGACTTTCAGCCTCTTCTAATAATTCCATGCCAGGTTGTTCACTCCTCTTGATGCCCCTCTGCTGAGGCAAACCCAGACCTTCACCTTTATCTTCCTTTGAGGCGGGTGGTCCCTCGACCCTTGGCTCTCCTTGTGGTTCTTTGTTGGATGGTCCCTCCTTTCCAACCTCAGTCTACTCATCCATCCTATCTTCTCCTTCCTTTGACTGAGGGCCCCCTTTTCCTCCTTCTGCCAACCTGATTTCAAGCCCTCCTTCGATTTGTCATTCCACCAATTTCGTAGTTTCTTTTCCTTCCTCTTGGTGGCTCAACTTGAGCTCTTCCATCCCTTTCAGTATTTCCTCCCATCTTTTCTCCCATACCTGACTCATCTTCTCTCTTTCAGTAATCTCATCATCCAGGTCCAGTCCTTGCACGCTGACCTCAGAGCACAAACCTTCCACCTTTTTTTCCACCTTCTCCCTCTCAGCCACTTCATCTTCCAATTCCTTGTTTTTCTGGGTCAGGGAAATCTCCAAAGTACTTACTTCTTTTTGCAGCTCTTCCTTCCCCTTTTTCAACTCTTCCACTTCCTTCTTCATCCGTTCCAAATTTTCTGTTAACTTGGTCATCTTGGCATCCCTTTCCTCCTCCTTTTTTCTTAACTTGCTCATTTTCTTCAAGAGCCTTGGGATATAGTCCAAAAACCCTTGGGTGAAGAGCTATGTGCTTTCCTTGAGTTCCTCCTGAAGTCCTCTTCCCATCGCATTCAGGTTTTCTCCAATCTCTCTCTTTTCTTCTCCTCCTTCCATTTTCCCCAACTTCCTTGCAACCTCAGCATATTCCTCAAAGTGTCTGGTGCACTTTTCATCTAGCATCTCATGCGGCCCCATTAGTTTTTGTAAGTTGGTGGAATGTTTGGTGCTTACCACCAGCTTTGAGAGGAGCATCCTTTCAAACCTAACATCCCAAGATGAGTTTACAAGCACGTCATCATCTTGCAGCATCCTGATCATATAATACCTCCATCCTTTCTTCTTCTTCTCCCGCTGAGCTCTCTCTTCTTTACTTATCTGCCCTTTCTTCACCTCCCATCTTAGCTGGGATGAACCTCCACATTCCACTTTTCTCTTTTCTGCCTCCTCAGCTTCCACTTCCTCGCCCCTTTTTGGTCTTACCTCTTTCTCACCCCTATTTCTTTCCATTTCTTTTCCATCTCCAATCGGTCCCTTTCCCTTAGTTCTCTCGGTCCTTGGAGCCTTGTCTCCCTCTTGAACCCTCTTTCTTTCTTCCTCCCCCTTTTCTTTTCTTGCTCCTTCTTCCTTCTCACTTATTCTTTCCTCCACTTCTTCCCTCTCAACCTCAACTGTTTTTCTTTCTTCAACCCTTCTCTCTATCTGTGCCTCACTCGTTCCCTGACCTCTTTTCCTTTTCACTGCCACCTCCCGTTCTTCGTTCTCTCCTTCCCTTGTCTGGTCAGATCCTCTGCTTCCGTCCTTGGGAAAAGTCATTGGCTTGCTTCTCAAGTTTCTCAAGAGCATATCCTCCTCTTCTTCATCCTCTTGTGCCCTTCTCTGCTGCTCATCCATTTCTCTTTCAATCCACAATCTATTCTCTTGCAATCTTTCCTTTCTTGTTTGGTCTTGCCTCACCTGGGTATACACCATTTGTAGTTTTATCATTATCCTCTGCCAAGTGCAACTCTCTTCCACAATCCTCTTCACTTCCTCTTTCTCACTCTCCTCTGTCCTCTCAATCAATCTCTTTTTTTTCTCCTCATCACTCCATCCTCCTCTCTCCGCAGACAGCTGTAAACTGTCAACAAACTCATCCAGGTTCGTCCCATCAAATATCATATCATCTTCAATCTCATCCCTTGGGAAGATCCCTATTGTCTGTCACAATTTCACCACACACATCTTCCACCTCAAGCATTGGGCTGCCACTTCTTCAATCTTCTTTTTATATCCCCCTGCTTCAGTCACTTCTACGAGTTTCCTCTTATCATCCCACTCTCGCCTGAACGCATACTCCTCAAAATCCCTCAAAAACACACGCAAGTTATCTCCAGCTCTGTAAACAGGTAACTCCTCCAGATTCCTTGAGACTTACTGATCCCTCCTCTGCCCTCCCTTTCTCAAGGTAGGTTCAGAGGTCTCTGCCATTCCTCCTCTCTGCGTCATGGCCACTTCTCCCCAAGGGTCACGCCTGCACACAGAGAAGGAGCAATGACATGTACAAGCATCAAATATCATCATCAAGGCAACACCTTTTATCATAAACATAAGTTTGGTATTCATATGCATGCATATATATATATATATATATGTATATACATATATACGCTTGTATATATACATGTATATTCCCATTATACCCATTCATATTTATCTATGTATACATACATATATATATAGGTATGTATATATACATATATGTATCCATACATGTATGAGTATATATTTAGGCAAATGGGCACACACATACATATGTCCCACACACACATATATGTATAAGCGTATTCCCTGTTTACTCAAGCTCGTCGTATCAAATAGGGCTCACCTCTTCTCTGATTTGGAACGTCTTCAGCCTGGACCCTGAAACCAAGTCCTTCCTTGGAGTCTCAACCATTTCTTCTTGTTCATAGGGCCCATGAAGTCCCTGCTTCCAGACCTTGAAAGGTCCAAGCCAACGCTTGTCCAGTTTTCACGACCACTGCATTTCCAAAGAGGAATCGTAGAGTAACACTGTCTCGCCAACTTGCAGAGGCTCGACCCTCACTCTAGGGAGTTTGTCCCACCTTTCTTTATCTTTCCCTCGGCTGTCTGCAACTTTCACGGCAACTTCCTGAACTCTTTCTTATGTGGTGCTGATCTGCCTTGCCCTCAGATCTAGTAGCTCTTCCAGGGTCAAATTGTTCTTCAAGTCTTGTCTGCGCAATGTTTTCAAAAAACTCTCAATCGGAAACGTGGCGTGTCGACCATACCAGACGGTCGCAGATGCATATCCGGTCGTTCTTCTGACATTAACGTTTTCCATAAAGAATACAGTTCTTAAGAATTTTGGCCAGAGATTCGACCTCTCATTGGTCCATTTGGCCAGCAAGTTGGTAATCGTACTATGGCCTCTTTTGACTGGTGCATTTGCCTGTAGATGAGTCCGAGTCGTGTAGTTACTCATCACTTTTAGTTTTTTCAGTTGCTTCTTCACTTCCCCACACGTAAATTCAGACTCCCTGTCCATTGTAAATTCCAGTACGAACGGATAGCTGAGATAGTACTCCTTAATGCATTTTGCCAGTGTCGCCCCAGTCTTGTTCCTGATTGCTCTGCCATTGACGAACCCAGTAAGATTGTCCCTTGCGTCAAATATGTAGTTATTTGTACCTAGGATGCAATAGGTCCAAGTTGACAACCGCCCCTACCTCTTTGATGTACCTAGGATGCAAAGGTTCTTTGTACTTGATAGGCGATCGTACTTGACACGGTACACATGACTCACAGTATTTTCGAGTCATTTCAAGCATCCCTTCCCAGTAATAGAGTTCCATCACCTTTTTGTAAGTCGTCGCAAAACTTCGATGTTCCCCAACTTACCAGAGGTCGCCAACGGGTGGCCGTGACCGGACCCGATCGTACCCAGCCGTAACCGACAGTTTTGGATGGGGTGCGGGTATGCCCCCAAAGGATAAGCAGCGGTACGGCTGGGTGTGAATATGTGTGATAATATGATGGGTGGAATTGGGCAGGGTGGAAAAGTTTCAGGGGGGCATGGCTGGGTGAGGTGGGAAAGTTTCAGTGGGGTACAGTTGGGTGTTGTCTCGATTCCCTGGGCGGGTACGGCTGGGTGGAGGTTTGGCCTGGGTGGCCGGAAGCTTGTAGGCCATTAAACTAGTATAGGTACCAACCTTCTAGGTAGTAGGTAGTATTAAGGCCAGGCCGCAATGGGCCCTCTTCACCGGCAACGTAGCGGGCATTGAGGTCTTATAAGTAAGAAATCAGCTCCCTCGGCTTTTTTTTTTTTTTTTCTACTGTTGTTCGTTTTCACCTGTAGTGGGAGTAGCCCTAAGATGGGCAAAAGACCATATGCAGCAGCAGACCAACGGGCCTCACTCCACTACTCACCAAATGTGTAAAATGAGAATGAATCTTGCGGTGCATCATGGGAAGATTCATCGCCTTTTTTTTTTCTTCTTTTGTGCATGTGTGAGCACTGAGCAGTGCAGCGGCAGTGAATCTTCCCATGATCCACCGCAAGATTCATTGTCATTTTACACATTTGGTGAGTAGTGGAGTGAGCCCACCCAACCAGTAGAAGCTTGGTGCCAAAATTTCGAAGTTGAACTTCGAAGCCTGGCAGGCGGGGTTGGGTTGCTCCACTGCCATTCGGTCACTCCGACGACTTGTGCATTGCATGCAATGAGCGAGCGAGCGCGGCAAGCAAGGAGGTGCGCTAACGCAAGCGTTGGAGTTGCGAAAGCGGGCACGGTTATTGCGAGCGACAATACTGGGGAAGGCAGGCGCAGCAACAACTACAGCAAGGCGAGCTTAATGATGCGTGGTTATGCTGACACAGCGACAAGCTTGCAACAACGGTGAGCGAGAAGCGTGCAACACTTTGTGGAGACAACGCAGCTTACTCTGAAGGGTGGGATGCGACGTGGGCTGTTAGTGGATGAGATGTCTTTACCGGAAAAGTTTTCGTTTCGTCAAGTATCATGTTTTTGCCATAGCCGCATACTCGTGTAATGTTTACTAATGGGCAAGTATGGTTGGGTCGACGATGCTGACGCTGTAATCGGATGAATTTCAGCGCTCCTGTTCTGGACCGTACGTTTCCTGAATTCGTGTCTCGTTAACGGGCACAACTTCAGGAAGTACTGGAAATAGGAATTGGATCGTTCAATGTCTTTCTGTGATCGGGAGAGAGAGAGAGAGAGAGAGAGAGAGAGAGAGAGAGAGAGAGAGAGAGAGAGATTGTGGAGGTGACAGATATGACCGCAACATCAATTGTCCTTTTTCTGCAATCGCGTAGTCTGTCAGACTCGGATTACATCGGCTCGGTTTTGTCCCACTTTTTTCGCCTGCTCCATTGTGTGTTCTACCGTATTTGTACTTAGATAGCGCCGTCCGTCGGAGAGAAGGTTAACTACAGTCGTATTTTTCATCACCACTTCAGGACACTCTTCACCACTTCAGAATGCAGCCTGACTAAACAGGTGGTTTTCAGGGTTTTCGGACCTTTCGCCACTTCAGGACCATTCATCTCTGAAAATCCTGAATGGTCATGAAGTGGTGAAAGCTCTGAAGACCCTGAAAACCACTTGTTTGGGCAGGCTGCATCCTTAAGTGGTGAAGGGTGGTTTTCGTGGTCTTCGGACCTTTCACCACTCCAGAACCATTCAGGATTTTCAGACTGCCCAAAACTCTCACTTGACCACTGCAGGACACCCTTCACTACTTCAGGATGTGGCCTGCCTAAACAGGTGGTTTTCAGGGTCTTCGGACCTTTCACCACTTCATAACCATTCAGGATTTTCAGACTGCCCAAAACTCTCACTTCAGAATTTTCATTCCTGAATTTTCAGCTACCCAATAACCGTTTGTGCTCCGTCGAAGTCCATGTGAAACAGACGTTGCCTACTTGAACCGAACGATCGGGCAGTCCCTTCTCCTATTTCTCCTCTCATTTCCACTCTTGCTTTGAAAATGCTGAGATGAAAAGTTTCATCCTCCCCCGCAAGGTTGTCGGCTGCTCCTGTGTCGTTGTCAAGGACTACGACGAGGAATCTGAAGCCCTCAATGTTCTTCAAGAGTATCTCAAGGACCGTTAAGGGAAACATCATTTTGTTTTAGTTCTTTCCTCCCTCTTATACTTGTCGTATTCTCTGAGAGAGAGAGAGAGAGAGAGGTGCAAACAACAAAACCGTCGGAGCTTGTGAACGCGTCACTACGAATCCCTCTCCCATATGCATCGCCTTGAGTCACTTGACCTCCTGACATTTCATCGAGCTGTTCTGTTCTTGTCGCGCTCGCAGGAGCGTAAATCATTATCCCGCGTGCATCGATCTTGACCTCCTGAACTTTCATCCCGCTGTTTTGTTCTGTTGTGCTCTCTCTCTCTGTCTCTCTCTCTCTCTCTCTCTCTCTCTCTCTCTCTCTCTCTCTCTCTCTCTCT